TTAAAAAAAAAAAAGGATGAATGGATGAGGACGAATATATCAACTGCAACTAAATATTATTGTAGCATTATTTCTTGGTTGATGTAAGGAATGGCGTCTTTCCCCCACACGGAATTCTGTGACATATACACTTCACTTTGTAATCCCGTTAACCTTCGTCAATTGACTTGCTTAATAACCGAATCCTAAATGAAGTGGTCTTGCCGCAAAAATAGTAGACCTTTTCGATATTGCTGGTGAATTGTAGCTCTTGGATATTAGTCACTGGGGTAGTTAAGATTATGAAGTCATAGTGGTCTACATAAGTCCTTATCAGAACTGTCAAATTATTACATACGCTAAATAATAGGTTTAAAATGAAGTGAAACGTATTGAAACCGTAAGTTCAATTGTTTCCGAGAACACAGATTTCTGTATTTTATTACTTAACCTGCTCACTGGTACAACGATTACACTTGCACGTTGCAACATGACCGCAACAACAACCATTGCATGCAGGACCATGGCCGCAAGCACAATTCACGCACCTTGGACCATGATCACAACCACATTTTTCTTCTGAATTGTCAACCATAATTCTTTTAGTATTAGCAACCATTGTATTAGCAACTATTATATAATCAATAATTTATGTAATACTAATTTCGATAGTCTACTGTGGGATAGTAACTCTTTATATAGGTTTTGCTTTTTGCGATTTTCTCCGCACAGAATCTGTAGATGACCGCAATGGCTAAGTTCAAATAGGAATTAGATGACAAACGTCATTGAAAACCAGATAAAAGCCATTTTTCCATCAAAAGATAGTATATTCCGTTGCTATTGTCTATTGAATCGCTCGTTTCGCCTTTATTGTCTATGTGTAAATTAGGATCAATCGAACAGTAATTTGCTTAATTTTATTTTTTTGAACTTTACGCTAAGGGATTTACTACAACATTTTATTTGATCAAAAAAAATGATGATGTTTATTATAAAATGGTTCAAAATGGTTTAAAATGGTTGCGGTTACTAAATTAATTATGGTTGACAATTCAGAAGAAAAATGTGGCGTGATCATGGCCCACTATAATAGCTGGTTGTGATCACGTGACGAATTGTAAATATTGGGACTATGATACAGGTCGTGTGCACACTGGAAAATATAAGGAATGTATTTCATATGATAGATATACTGGTCTTATAAAACAATACTAGTCATTAAGAAGTAGTTAAGTGATCCATTTACCTATATTATATACCCTGCAATTTGTTTTCCAATATTCGCATTCTGGCTAATTTAATTTGGTTATGAGCGATGCCGATGATTTTCAAAAAAAAATAACGGACAGGAAAATGTGGAAAAACCAAGAGTGAATTTTCTACCTATAAGTTTTACAATGATACGTCTTCCTCCGGCATTAAAAAGTAACAAAAGGTACGGATCACAACCTCCACAAAAGAGACTACCATTATTCCAAAAAAGTCGAATTCCGATGTAAGCATCAGTAATAAGGAGCTAGATGCTAATATAATATTTCCCCAAAGGAGGTTTCAGAGCCTACTCTATTGTATTAGACTCTGTTCTCTATACTATAATTTATTTAGCAGCTAAAATATGCTATTTCTTCTCTTGACCATAAGGAATTATGTCTCTTGACATTGTAGGGGGACACCAACAAGGAGGGCCACATACCGACGAGAATAAACCCACAGCAAAATTTACGGGCTCCAATACGCAACACTTATAGGTTCCTATTTTTTTTCTACGATGGGTCTGGAAGCTCATTTCAGCCAACTTAACCAAAGTCTCAAAACATTTGCTTATCAACCTTCCTTGCTTGATATCATTAATACGACCCGAACCCCTGACCCAACCAAATGCATACGGATGCATACGGAAGCATACAATATTATGAATTCTATACCAATGAACACTACTGACCAGCAGTATTCCTGAATGACCATACGACTAAAACAATGTAGTTTTTGTATTGTAGGATATATACCGTCATATCTAAAGGTAATGTTGAAAAGTTGAAATTTTCCTTGCCAATTTTTGGCTTTCCCGCGAAAATAATGATGTAAGGATGGGGGCAAGAGATAGGAACTGAATAATATATATGAAAGGTTATGAGAAACGTGTGATTTCTATCGTCAAAACCATTTGCTAAGTATAGATTGACTCTGTCTCTCTTCCTACTTTTAATGTAGGCAACGGCCACGTGAAACCAATTACATTACGTTCATAATTTCCTATTTCAGAACACAAAACTTCAACTACTTTTCTTGCAATCAAAACTTACTCATTTACTATATTTTATTTACCCATATTCGGCTAATCAAAAGTTTAATACACAAACTTTGACTATTTAGCACAGCATTCGGAGCGACATGTACATTCTCTCTTAGCACAGCAGCATCCTTTAGCACAGCATCCGGAGCGACATGTACATTCTTTCTTAGCGTAGACTTTTTCTTCCCAATCCTTGCAATGAACTTTATCCAAATTTAAACTAAGATGCTCCATTACTTATGAAGTTTGTAGATATATGTATGTGTTTATGAATATCAATACAAATTACTATTATGGAAGGAAAAATAAGACGGATCTTGAAGATTTATATAATTTTGCGCTTTTATCGCTGTTCTTATTCAAGAAAAAACTCGGTAGCAATAATGACGCAAACAGAATTTAATTTCATACAATTTAGATTAACCGTTTTTTATATGATTTTTTAGATATGACTCTTAGCCAACCCAGATACAAATCATCTTTAATGCAAACATGTTATTGCGATAGGAATTGCAATTCCTACTGCACAAACTTTGTCTAAGATTGGAATAGCAACTGAATGCCCGGAAAAAATTCTTTTTCTACGCAGAAAGCGCGCACTCCGCAAAAAAAGCGCAGCGAAAAACGCTCACTTCGATATAAATATTCGTCCGTCCGTCTTCAAAATAAAATAATTTTTTTATTCTTGTAGTAATACAAATTCATAATAAACGATAGACAGATAGGAATATGAAATTATTTGGTTTGATATTCATTTTATGTGTTTTGAATTTGACAAACGCCGAAATTCACACGTGGTACTTCAAGACTGGGTGGGTCAAAGCTAATCCTGATGGAGTTTATGAACGTAATGTGATTGGTTTCAATGATACATGGCCGTTGCCTACCTTGAGAGTTAGGAAGGGAGACATGGTTAATCTATACTTGACAAATGGTTTTGACGATAGAAATACGTCAATTCACTTCCACGGGTTATTCCAGAATGGCAGTTCACAAATGGACGGGGTCGAAATGGTGACCCAATGTCCTATTCCACCGGGAGAAACGATGTTGTATAATTTCACGGTTTCAGACCAAACGGGTACATATTGGTACCATTCACATACTTCGGGGCAACGCATTGATGGGATGAGAGGAGCGTTTATAATTGAAGATCACGATTGTCGTTATGAGTATGACGAAGAAGTGGTATTAACATTGTCTGACTGGTATCATAAGAACACCACTGAATTGTTGTCTAGTTATTTGAACCCATCCAATTCCATGGGAGCAGAACCAATTCCTCAGAACCTTTTGTTTAATGATACTAGGAATAACACCTGGCACGTAGAGCCAAACAAAACATACCTTGTACGTATCATCAATCTCGGTGGTTTTGTTTCGCAATACCTTTACATGGAAGATCACGAGTTCGACGTAGTCGAAATTGATGGTGTTGGGGTTGAAAAGAACACAACTGATATGTTGTATATTACGGTTGGGCAACGTTACGGGGTTTTGATTAAAACAAAAGATAATGCGGATAAGAATTTCGCATTTATGAGTAAATTGGATGATAGCATGTTAATGGGTACAATTCCGAAAGATCTAGAGTTGAATTCTACTAATTACATTATCTATGATGACGATAAAATGAAACCCGAGCAATATATTGTTAATGAACTGAACTTTCTCAACGATTTCTATTTGAAGCCTTTAAGTAAAACAAAACTATTTGATTGTGTTGATCAAACTATTACGCTTGATGTAACTATGGGCCTTTTAAGTAATGGGATCAATTATGCTTTCTTCAATAATATCACCTATATTCAACCGAAAGTTCCTACCTTAGTTACAGCATTATCTGCTGGTGAGCTCGCATCTAATAGTTTGGTGTACGGAACGAACACGAACACTTTCGTTTTGCGAAAAAACGATGTTATAGATATTGTGGTAAATAATTATGACGAGATGAGTCATCCTTTCCATTTGCATGGTCACAACTTCCAATTGGTTGCAAGAGACAAAATACCTGCTGATGAAAGTACGGTTCCAAATGACCATCCTGGGTTTCCAGAATATCCTATGATGAGAGATACTGTTAATGTTGAACCTAGTTCATACATCGTTATTAGGTTTATTGCAGATAACCCAGGAGTTTGGTTTTTCCATTGTCATGTTGACTGGCATTTGGAACAAGGTTTGGCCATGACTTTTGTCGAGGCGCCAGAAGAATTGCAGAAGAATCCATCTCAAGCATTAACCGAGAACAACAAAGATATTTGTGAGAAAAGCAATGTACCAACAAAGGGCAATGCTGCAGCGAATTTCAATAACTATTTAGACCTAAAAGGTCAGAACATTCAATTAGCGAAAAAAGCTCCAGAAATGTGAGCCTCGCAAATAGGCGCGGGTGTCAGCGCGACTAAGTCATGGCTCAAAAGACAGATAAACAAAGTAGTATTTATCAGTTTTCTTTAATTTTTT